ATCAATGTTCTGTATGCATGAAATGTTTTAGTAAAAAACGTACCTTGAAAATGCATTTGAAAATTCATACAGGTGAATGTCTTCATAAATGTTCTAAGTGTGGGAGAAATTTTAATTATAAAACCAGCTTAAAGACACATTTAAAAAGACATAAAGGCGAAATGCCTTATAAGTGTCTTATATGCGCTATAGAGTTTGTTAGTAGGGGCCACTTGGATGATCATCTTAATATACATACAAGCATAAAACCTTATATATGTTCTATGTGTGGGAGAAAGTTTACTATTAACAACCACTTGCAGAGACATTTAGAGAAAGAGGCGATATGTATTGAAGAATATAGGTAACAAGTAATTTATTAAACTGATCTATATTGAGGGAGAGACAGGAACAGTGTAAGAGTTTATATTATTTTTAGACGCATTTAGTTTTCTTCAAGTCTTACATCAAGCATTTGGCCTTCAACTTTATATAGGAAAAACAGATTCAATTTGATTTCACAGATTTGAAAAAATTAATGAATGGTCAATTAGAAAACAGGTATAGACCTCGTATGTATGTTCGATGTAATCTAAATCTGTAAATTCCGATTCTTCGACTTAGTAATATAAAAACATTATGACGACTTTTATTAAACTATTATTCTTTTCAATCTGACTATTCTGATGTCAAAATAACACAATAATTAAACGAGGAACAATAAAAGAATTGGGGTAGTAACGCTAATTCGGAAGTTTTTTTAAATTTATGGGACTTTTTTTAAATTTTAAACTTTTTTTATTTATGTGGTATATAATTTTTTATCTTTATAAAAAATATATAGAATCTTTTAATTTTTATAAAATAAAACTATAATAATATAATTCTCTTTTTTCATATATAAGAAAGGAGTAAATATTTATATATATGTACATATATATAGTATAATCTAACCATGACAAACCGATGGAGAGAAGTCTTACAAAATGAACGTGATAAAGATAAAGTGGGTGAAAGTGATAGAAATTGGCTACCATTACCACCTCATCCCAAGATAAATTATCTCGAGAAACGTTATCAGTGTTCAGATTGTAATAAGAAATTCAGATGGCCAGACTCCCTGAAGGCACACTAAAAAATTCACGAAAAGCCCTATCAATGTTCTGAATGCATGAAAAATTTTACACATAAACGTACCTTGAAAACGCACTTGAAAAAACATACAGGTAAAGATCTTTATAAATGATCTACGTGTGGAAGAAATTTTAATTATAAAATGTGCTTTAAGAGACATCTTAAAATACACACAGGCAAAAAGCCTTATATATGTCATATATGTGTTAAAGGTTTCTTCCTTAAGATTTACTTGAACGATCATATTAATAATAAACATAAAGGCATAAAGCAATATAAATGTTTTATGTGTAGGAGAAGTTTTATCAGTAACAACATCTTGAAGAGACATTCGAAGAAAGATTTCATATGTACTACAGAATATAGGTAACATTTATTCATGTAACTGAGCAAATGATAAGGTAGAAAAATCATGAGGGAGAGAAGGGAACCGTGTATAGGTTATTATTATTATAATTAGATGCATTCAGTTTTCGACAGGTCTTACTATAAAATAAAATAATGTGTTTAGTTAAAGACTAGCCCCAAGCATCTGACCTCCAACGAGACAGACAGATTGACTCAATATTAAAACAAAGAAATCACAATGATGTGATATATCAAAGAGAAAATTGAAGGGGTTAAGGCATGAAATTAAGCCGTTGTGAACAATATGTTATAACCACTAACTAACTCTGACCCCCGGGGTGACAGTTATTGGACTTAGAGGTTTTAATAACATACATCTATCTATTCATGATTTCAAACATTGTTCAATAGACGTTTCAAGTACAATATCTTTTAATTGGTTCTTGTCTTTCAAAGTAAATATAACTTCAAACACACATATTTCAAAATACAGTTCTTTATATTAATAAATATATAATATACATAATGTAAATATAATATATTTAATAATATTATATCAATATATATTTGCTTACTTAATGAGAGGGTTTTAAGTTTTCTAATATTTTCATATTTCAAAACTGATTCATTTGAATTTGTTATAATTCCCAAGGAAAAAATAACTATATAAATGTAACTAATACAGAATTTAGTGCCGAGAGAACAAAATTTAGCACCGAGAACACAGATTTTGTATCAAGAATACTGAATTTAGTACCGAGTTTGCCAGTCAAAGAAACCAAAAAATTATGACATTTTAGAAAAGTAACTTTTTTGTAATAATTTTCATTAGATTTATAATATTTTATATACCAAAAAGACATGATAAAACTAGAAAAAATCCTTTACGGCCACTTTTTATTGACTTTTATTACAATTTATTAAGACAATTTTATGCAATAAGGAGATATTATTGTTTAGGAGTAACTTGTTTTCATGATTTTTATATATTATTTTGAAATATTTTTGTGAAGATAAAATTATGAAAGGTTTCTCCAGGTATATATAATATAAATTTATTTCCAGTTGATTAATTTTATGAAACAAATTTTATATGTGTTGTGTATGTTTTATAAATTTATATAATATTTCTTATTGTATTAAAAAATTTTTATATATATATTTACATAACAAAATTTGAAGTCTATACTGGAGGTCTTTAACTCGTAAAATATATTATTTGTGGATAATAAAACCCAAAAACTATTTTTGCCGGATATTATAAAATGCTCAACTTTATTTTTGTCAAGATATTTTATATAATAAATTAAATAATTTGTTCTAAATTAAATGTAAAATTTGTCACCTAAAAAACAAAGTATTTACTTTTGGTATTTACTTAGCAAAAATATATTTTTTGTGAAATAATACCACCAAATCTATTTTTTTTAAATAATTTTGAATGTATTTTATAGAATCAATTATAATTTTAAAAAGTTACCCTTGAATGTGAGATACAGAAGATAAAAAAAAACTATTAATGAGATTTGGTATTTACGTTTATGGATCATGTCGTAACAGCAGTTGTGGTTTAAATGATTTTTCTCACTTATCCAAACATGGCATGATAAAGGATATTGAAATGTATAAGTATTTGACTATTATTATTATTATTATTATCAACAATTTATACAGATTTGTACATTATGTCGGCATTTGGGGGTACACCTTTAACCGTATCTCTGGCAAATACATCTGTGATTCATACCTGGTTGATGGGGTTCTGGGAGTTCTTCTACTCCCCAAGCCCGGCCCGAGGCCAGGCTCGACTTGTGAGAGTTTGGTCCACCAGGCTGTTGCTTGGAGCGGCCCGCAGGGCCACGTACCCACCACAGCCCGGCTGATCCGGAACTTCTCTTAGAAAACCGTCCAGTTTTCTCTTGAAGATGTCCACGGTTGTTCCGGCAATATTTCTTATGCTCGCTGGGAGGACGTTGAACAACCGCGGACCCCTGATGTTTATACAGTGCTCTCTGATTGTGCCTATGGCACCTCTGCTCTTCACTGGTTGAATCTTGCATTTTCTTCCATATCGTTCACTCCAGTACGTTGTTATTTTACTGTGTAGATTTGGGACCTGACCCTCCAGTATTTTCCATGTGTATATTATTTGGTATCTCTCTCGTCTCCTTGGAAAGGAGACGTACATGGAAAGAGTTTACAATGACACACTAGAATCTTCCTATAGCGATAATCACTTAGAAAATAATCAGACTGTCTTCAAACGACTTCTCGAAGACCTACTGTCTGGCTCTTATTAATTTGATTTGGTATAATTCTGTCTACACATTTATCGAAGTCATTCCTAGAAAGATACTGATCGATGGTTCCAAATTTGGTGGCCACATGATATAAATCTCTCCGGTAATTAATTTCCATAACTATTCCACTGATGGTACGCATCCCCATCTTCGATTCTCTGTCTGCTTTAGGGATTATGACATTAACTGTGGCGTATAAACTTATAGGTGTTGTAACAAACTAGGCTGGTTGTAAGAATTATCCAGAGTGGTTTATCGACAAAAGAGAATGGGAAGCTGAGCCCGCGTGGTGACCCGGGTCCTGACCCCAGGGGAATTCACGGTGAAAATAATCGACGCCTTGTTCATAGCTGCGTATAATGAATCATCCTATAGTATTCAGTAAGTTAGAGAAATTAGCCTTTATTCATTTTGTATTAAAATTGTATTGTATAATATTACTGGGTACAATATCAAGAGTATTCTAATTATTGAGTTAAGTCACCATCAGTGACATCACGAATCAGATCTAAGTTGTAAGGCGGAGTGACCGGGCGGTCATAGGTCATCAGAGTTGACGATGTTCACTATTTTCTCAAAGTTCAAATAACCATTTTGGTGATCGGGATGAAGGTATTAGTATTAAGGTACTCAGTTGTGTATGTGTAAACTAAAGTCTTTGAAAATGTAATAAGTTTTACGAAACGCGCTCAAGTGTAGCGTCAAACTAGAAATAAAAATGAATTTTGGAGAATTGATTTTTGAATTACCACCAACAGTGAAAAGAAATGTACGAAAGATCGAGAAAATTCGTGTTAGAATTATTAATCTTACTTTTTCGGTCATATTTAATAATATATGTCTACAGGAAAGACTGCTACCAAAATATACTAATATATATATATATATATATATATATATATATATATATATATATATATATATATATATATATATATATATATATATATATATATATATATATATATATATATATATATATATATATATATAGCCATAAATCACTATTTGGCCTAATATGTAAGGCTGTCGTCTCACTTAGTTAATTAATTCAGCAAGACCACTGTCGTTTCTGGCCGAATGTACACAAGTTGCCCAAGTATGCACAAATTGTAACTGCCCATTAAGCAAAGAAAGCAGGTTCGTTATTGGTCGATCGTCAACTGACTGCGGTAAAGTGAGGTAACGACATAAGGAGGGGTCAGTCATATATATCAGTGTCAGTTAGATACCCACACGATGGATACACTCCAATCAGTACCCTCAAGTGCTCCAGCGTCATTATTGACTTGTGGACAAAGAAGTGAAAATGAAAAGAGAGACGAAGAAGTTCGTCATAAACAAGAATTTGACCTTCAGATACGCCAAATGTTGTCTAAACGACGCAGGGAACGTCGAAAGATTTTTAGTCGCGAAAAGTTAAAGAAATACATTAGTGAAGAAAATGCAGCTAAACTTAAGATTACTTACCGTGAATACGATCTGTTGTCACGATACGATTTGGAAAACATGTTCGGAGAAGACATTCTGGTCACCGTAGATGAAACTGAGAAGAGTCTGAAGCAGGGAATAAAACGCAACTTAATTAGCTCAACATCAACAGCAGCAGCAACCTCCGCATTAGACCCCCAACGTGTATACCGCAGATTTATACACCAGGGGCAAATATATGACAAAATTTACGACGCCCATAACGCGGTCGGCCATGGGGGAGAAAAAAGAACTTTTTTTCAAGTAAGCAAAACGGTTGCTAACGTAGCCCAAGAAAAAGTAAAACTATTCATTTCTTTAAGGCAAATTTGCAACATAAAACGTGTTCCCAGGTGTAAGAAAGGGGTTGTTAAACCCATCGTGTCTGAGAGTTTCGGAGAGAGAGGACAGATGGATTTGATAGACATGTATAAGGATGGGGGATGTCTGTTCAACTACATTCTTCATTACCAAGACAATCTAACCAAGTTCTCAGTTCTCCGACCTCTTCGCTCTAAACAGGCGATAAAAGTCGCTCGTCACTTGCTGGATATCATTACGCTCATTGGAGCCCCTCGATATCTGCAAAGCAACAACGGCCGTGAATTCGTGGTGGCAGTGATTCATCAGTTACGGACGGAATTATGGCCCAAGTTAATCCTAATAAATGGTAAGCCCCGGCATCCCCAGAGTCAGGGAAGCATAGAACGGGCCAACGGTGACATTACAAAAATGCTTGGGAGTTGGATGTGTGAGAATCGAACTCGCGATTGGTCGGCCAGTCTTCCCTTCATACAATTTAATACGAATATAGCATATTCGCGGGATGTTGGACTGTCACCGTACAAGGCGGTCTTTGGGATCGAACACCCCATCGGTATGCAAACGGAACTCTCACCATCGATGTACAAACAGCTGCAATGAAAGGATATCACTGAAGAAGACTTATTAACGATGAATCTAATTGAAGAAGAGGAGGAGAAAGAAGATGATCCTATTGGAGACCAGGAACGAAGTCGAGAACAAGATGTTGAAGAACACCACTGCCGTCAACCACCGACTGCTGAGGCTGGGAACCAGAACGAAACTATTATCAACACCAGGGATTCAGAGGTATCTATTAATTAATTAATGGTTGACAGATAGATGATAATTTATACTGAGATTATATTCATCATATCCTTTCCCTTGAGTTGTACAATATTAAAATAATCAATCCGACGGAGTCCGACGGAAATAACAACAATATCGATGCAGACATCGACCACCAACCTCCCCATCCCTTGCATGTCAAAAAAGTAAAAGAAATAAGAAGTAGAGTGAAGGAGCGCCAGAAGAGTAACGCTTTTAAAATGTTGTCACAGTCTTCATCAGATGTTACACTGTAACACGGGCAAGGGGTTCTCTAATTATCTTTCCTTCTACTCCCCCTCTACCCGTATTCTTACTTTTTATTCTCTACAAGGGACTCCAAAACCTTTACTAAAGCCAACTCCACGCCACGTGGTCCTAAGACGATTGACCGACTTAGGATTCTACAACCCGTATGACGTGACCTAGGCTTTGAGCAAAACCCTAGAGTCGCCTCCGCCGCCACCACCAGACCAGTAACACAGAGCAATGATCGAGGTCTGGATCGATCATACTAATTAATCAACCTTGGGGCTTGATCCCCACTATAACCGATGACCTTGTGTGTGGAATAAATTACACGGTAAAGATGACTTCCGATTTGGTGTTAGAATCGGCGCCCAATCCAACTCTGCCTCGTGTGGACCACGTGACCAGGACAAGTTCACATACTGGACATATAACAAATACATGGAAATAATAAAAATGCAAAATATTAACTAATTAATTTATTAAAAGAAACTAAAACAAAATCTAAATATGTTCACTCCCTGTCACTTTAACACTCCCTACTTGACCTGAATGGCAATGAGTTGACTATCCCTATAAATAACAATAGCAACTATACCTCTATGTTTTACCAGCTAAAGATGTTGGGCTGGTCTTGGGGGAGAGGTAAGATGGTTGACCTCCCCCAGTTGATCTGGACTCCACACTGATCTCTCCTCGTCTGATCTACCCCAGACTAGAGTATTGTATTGTTCCGCATCGCTTACCCAGTTACTTAGCCAGGTTTAAGTTATAACAATTAACCTCTGTTTGTACTGAATTGATCCAGACTGGTTGAATTATTTTACTGAAATTAAATTACACAAGCATCTAACGGCAGAGCTGTTCCCGATCACCAAAATGGTTATTTGAACTTTGAGAAAATAGTGGACATCGTCAACTCTGATGACCTATGACCGCCCGGTCCGCCTTACAACTTAGATCTGATTCGTGATGTCACTGATGGTGACTAACTCAATAATTAGAATACTCTTGATATTGTACCCAGTAATATTATACAATACAATTTTAATACAAAATGAATAAAGGCTAATTTCTCTAACTTACTGAATACTATAGGATGATTCATTATACGCAGCTATGAACAAGGCGTCGATTATTTTCACCGCGAATTCCCCTGGGGTCAGGACCCGGGTCACCACACGGGCTCAGCTTCCCATTCTCTTTTGTCGATAAACCACTCCGGATAATTCTTACAACCAGCCTAGTTTGTTACAACCCCCCCCCCCCCCCCCCGCACAAGCACTTAATAAACCTTGTTAATTTGTTAAAAAATCACGAGGTTTAGTATCCAAACCCAGAATTCAACTCAAGCCACAAACAAAAGCTAACCTAACTAATAAAATTTGACAATTAATAGTCCAACATCATAATAAACATGTTCACATTTCATAAATTTCTCAGCTGTCAACTGACAGCAATCCTCTAACATCAGGAAACATACATCCTATCCTTACTGACATAGCTAAATAACATGTCCCTACTCTACCATCAAAGACTAGCTATTAAACTCTCTTGGCTCTTCACTAGCCAAGTTCATGTGTCCTCTAGAGCCGGCCACACCGTGCTCAAACAAGCATTAAAGTTATATCTTCAGACTGAACTTTCAGTCATCCGGGAGCGTACTACGGAACTATCAGGTTCACATCCGTGTACTAACCACTCCCAAATCAATGTCAACCTTGACATGCTAAGGAACACACCTAACGTTTATTACATGTATCTAAAAATATAAACAAAAATTCCTATACTATATCACAGGTTTCAGCTGACTGTACAGCCAAGTGTTCTCACTCACTGAAAGAGTGTCAATGTTTATATTGGTCCGCCTCTCCTGTGTTCGAACATTCTACAAAAGTATCACAACATAATTTTCCATAACCGTTTGTTCAGGGCTGAGACAATTACACAGGGGCTTCGATTTTGATTACTGACCATTTTATAGAGTAAAATTTTCATATATTATACCAGAATTATTATAAATCTGTTTTTCAACATTTAAAAGTATTGTGATTCTAACTCTGTTTTTCAACATTTAAATAAAAGTGTCCAGATATTCTTTACACAGATGTTCAGAGCCACTTTCTTGTCTGTATCAATTGTTCATATTGAGTAATCGAAAAAAAAATCGATGTTGCTGGATGCTGAATGTAGTCGATGACGGTGTCGATCTTGCTTCTTCCCATGTGTAGACATCAATACCTGGTACTCTTGTACTCCCATCCGGTACTCCTGAATGACGACAGAGTGTAGTAGAGCGGAGTGCCAAGTGACAGCTGTAGAATACTGTTATTTCGGCCATTAATCTTGCTTTCGACAGTCCACACGCCTTCATATCAATCACAGTTCACACGGCAGTCTTGATGTTAAACTTGACGTCGCAGATGACCACAGCAGAACAGGACTGGGTGTACCAACGGTGTCTCTTAGCAGGAGTGGTGTCAGAAGGTCGTAGAGGCGGGTTGCTTGTTTGCAGAACAGGTGAATTTTGTCTTCCATCATTGCTCACGTCATCTCCGTAGCAGTCTCCGTGGTGTAGTGGTAAGACACTCGCCTGGCGTTCCGCGAGCGCTATGTCATGGTTTCGTATCCTGGCCGGGGAGGATTTACTGGGCGCAATTCCTTAACTGTAGCCTCTGTTTAACGCAACAGTAAAATGTGTACTTGGATGAAAAAACGATTCTTCGCGGCAGGGGATCGTATTCCAGGGACCCTTAGGATTAAGGACTTGCCCGAAACGCTACGCGTACTAGTGGCTGTACAAGAATGTAGCAACTCTTGTATATATCTCAAAAAAAAAAAAAAATCTCCGGCGTTTCTTAATGTCACCAGGTTACTAGGCCGTAAACACCAACTGTGTATACCCTCGTACCGCCGACTTTAGGCCAAAGGAGACAATTTTGCGACCTTCTATTGGCGAGTCCCGGTACTCTGTAGGGAAACCGTGCCTTCCACCTGTGACCGCCTTAGTTCTGCTTTCTTGTTACTTCAGATGACGTAATCATTAATCTTCCGGCGAAATTCTTGAGTACTGCTACGTGCTTTCCATGTCTTGACCTCTCCTCCAACACTGCTGGAATGGCTGCAGTCTTGATGACGCCGCAGGTGGGTAGTGGTGATCTCGAGACAGCTACCCCGGCGTTATATGGCACCTCCGGTGACTGCTATAATGTGGACAGCTCGCTGGCCCTGACAACCTCGTTAGTGACGTGAGGCGTCGGCCGGGTGACTCTTGCACAGTCACTCATCCCCAAAGTAACTGATGTATGGGTTACTGGGTCTGGTGGGAGGAGGGCTTTGTGTAACGTGCCTCCCCCCTTGGTCTTTACAGACAAGGGTTCCTGTGTGGCTGGAACAACTGGGTCGGTGTACCAATCAGACCTGGGAACAGACAGACACAACACAGCGGAAGCATAGATATACTCTGGGTTTGGTGGAGGTGGAACCCCAGAGCACGGTAAAAGTTGCTACCTGAGTCAAGTATAGACATAGTACACCTCATTGCCTTTACAGGAAAATCTAATGAATACTAAATTATACTAACCAAGGAAGTTACTTTACTGTACAGCGCGAGATGTCGTCACCATAGGGTGGCGAGACTGCACCTGACTACTGATGAGCGATGACAGAGGGTCATCCTCATCTTCTGACTCGTCTGTAACACGGGGAGGGTTTCTCGACTTATCTTTCCTTCTTTTTCCCCTCTACCTGTATTCTTACTCTTTATTCTCTACAAGGGACTCCAAAACTTTTACTGAAGCCAACTCCACGCCACGTGGTCCTAAGACGATTGACCGACTTAGGATTCTACAACCAGTATGACGTGACCTAGGCTTCGAGCAAAACCCTAGAGTCGCCTCTGCCGCCACCACCAGACCAGTAACACAGAGCAATGATCGAGGTCTGGATCGATCATGCTAATTAATCAACCTTGGGGCTTGATCCCCACTATAACCGATGACCTTGAGAGTTCTTAAGTGTGGAATTAATTACACGGTAAAGATGACTTCCGATTTAATGTTAGAATCGGCGCCCAATCCAACTCTGCCTCGTGTGGACCACGTGACCAGGACAAGTTCATATACTGTACATACAACAAACACATGGAAATAATAAAAATGCAAAATATTAACTAATTAATTTATTAAAAGAAAAACTAAAACAAAATCTAAATATGTTCACTCCCTGTCACTTTAACACTCCCTACTTGACCTGAATGGCAATGAGTTGACTATCCCTATAAATAACAATAGCAACTATACCTCTATGTTTTACCAGCTAAAGATGTTGGGCTGGTCTTGGGGGAGAGGTAAGATGGTTGACCTCCCCCAGTTGATCTGGACTCCACACTAATCTCTCCTCGTCTGATCTACCCCAGACTAGAGCATTGTATTGTTCCGCATCGCTTACCCAGTTACTTAGCCAGGTTTAAGTTATAACAATTAACCTCTGTTTGTACTGAATTGATCCAGACTGGTTGAATTATTTTACTGAAATTAAATTAC